CTGCGCGGTTGGCGGTGATCATTCTGGGCCGCTGGCGCTCGGATATTTCTTCGTAACGCCCACCTTCGTCCTTTGGATGCGGAGCGTGATTTCTGTAAGGAGAGACTGTCAGAAATCGGCAATGATCCATACAAATGGTTGCCAGCAGCATAAGTACTGACAAGATACCAAGTTCCCGTCCAATCATGAGTAGAAACGCAGTGCACGGTTTGCATTTTCTCAAAGGACGTGATACTAGGTGTCATGATAATGAGCGGGAGAACGGACAATGAAATAGCAAAAGAACTCTTTACCGTTCTCATGCCAATTCATAAGGAAGGGCGGTAGACGTGAGCGGCTGGGCTCAACGAAGGTGGAGCGTTATGGCATACGTATTCGAAGATTGCGTAGACAGGAAGGTCGTGAATGGTGATAGAAGTCCGCATTGGGGCAAGAAAGTAATGGGGTGCATCCTGGGCATGATCACGCAGAGTCAACTGAGGACTATGATAGGGGACAGAAAATACGCTACTGGATCGCATATTGGTATTGTCCCTGAAATGAGATGAAGCATCAGACGAAGAACAATTGCGTAGGGCAGAAGAGGCGGAGAGAAGAGAGGTGGTCGTGATTATCAACGCAAGATCAACGCCCAGGGATGCAACTTGACCACCATCATGCCTTGACGTCGCTCAAGACACATCCAATACGTCGCACCGCCAGCTATCCCGGTCATTGCCATTGCATTCTCAATACCCCGTAGTACGATCATTAAATGCCTCTTCGAGTTAGCCTGAGGCCATTTGCTGGGTTGGATGACTCTGAGGTGCGTTTGCGATCTCTGCCCCCAGTTTCGCCTTCTAATCTTACATAGTTCATTCAAGCCCTGCAGCGTGCTACTCCATGGCGGTTCAGCTGGTCCTCCAATTCTGGTCGCAATATCGTGCGGTCTCACATCACAGACATGCGGCTTCATCCAGAGCAGCCGCCATCCTTCACCCGCAAAATCGAGCTCCGATTACTTGACATTCTTTATTCCTTCCAGCCCAACATATCCGAAGCAGGATGTTCAGCGTTACCTCACGTCCTCTCATCTCTCGTGTTCGTCATTTGATGCCGTGGCGTTGCTGCCAGATTCGCGACGACCAATTGTCCTTGTGCGTCGTCCCCGTTGTGCAAGAAGAGGATCCCCACTGTCTTCTGTCGAACACCCTTCACCACCATTGCCGACTACCCAGCAGCCGCAGACCAGTCGGCACATCGACCTTCTTTTAGCGCGAATCACCACCGCTTTTGACCACCTCCCACAAGGCGCCCACCTCTCCGTCATCGACCGAACGGCAGACGACCCATATGGCCAGTTCATTCTTGCAGATTGCTGTTTCGGTAGTTTGGACGAGGGGTTCGACGAGCATCCGTGAGTAAACCCTGTTTCTCTCAAAGTGCATACAAAGATCTGACATTGTCGTTGCATTCATCAGGGAATGCTGTGATCTCTTGATCCCCGTCTTCCCGACTATTGCTCTTTACGTTCTCGGCACGGCGAAGGAACACTGTTCATCAACCTCCACCTATCACCACACTGGCCGATTAACGATCTGGATAGACGTTGGCTTGGAATCTGCGTCAGATGTCCATATCCGAAATGCCACGATCCTCCAAACCTACCCATGTTTCCTCTACTTCTCTTCCCTCCGGACAGTTGCACTTTTCATATCATCGTATGACGAATTCCGGTGGATCCAAGCGCATCAGGACCGTAGCCGCTTGAAGCAACGATGTCGACAAAAGTTTTGCAGGAGATAGTCACCAAGGCTTTGGTCGTGGGTCTGTGATCTTGACTGCTCTTACCGACGACGTTGTGAAGGGAGAGGCGGCTTCGTCGCTCATGGAACGTTCTCTGACGTATGGAAAGGTACTTGGAACGATCCGATTGAGAGACGGCCACGGCCTGTAAGTGTCTTGTGGTATTGTGTTGCAAAATCAGCTCACAATATGATTCAGGTTGCCATTAAGGTCCTGCGTCAAGTTATGGTGCAAAACGTCCGAGAGAAGCTCATCAAGGTATGGAGTGCATCTTTTGCTTGAATGTTTTGAGCTGACATGATGGTATGTTAGCGACTTCAATCGGAGGTCATTGCTTGGCACCGTCTATGTCATCGCAATGTATCGCAGCTTTTTGGGATAGTGCATCTTTCACAAAAAATAGGCAGGGCATCGCCTTGGTGCGAACATGGGACGTTTTGCAACTACCTGGAGCAATTTTTTTTCCCGAGCGTGAATCGATTGAGACTTGTACGCATTTCAAACCATCCACCGAGTTTCATTATCTAACTCTTGCTGTAGCTCGCCCAGGTGGCTTCTGCCATTGCCTATCTGCATACATTCAGGCCTACCATTGTCCATGGGGACTTAAAAGGAGTCAGGCCTCTTCGTTCGTCCTCTCGTGCTCCCCGCTGACCCCTAACTCAGAAAAAGGAAACATTCCGGTCGATGAGCATGTGTATGCGATCATCACCGACTTTGGGCTCTCCAAGGTCATCGAGGAAATGTCCGAGACCATCAGCAAGGGCATCTCTTCCTTTGCCGGGTTAACCCGGTGGATGGCACCAGAGCTTATTATGTCACTGGTGGAAGACGATGGGCAAATTCCTCCCATTACTACGTTTAGTGATGTGTACGCATTCGGTTCGGTGTGCCTTGAGGTATGTCTGGCCTTCTACTCGAACTGATTACAGATGTGACTCGTGTGTGCCATGCAGGTGGCAGCTGGACGGCTCCCCTATCCTCACAGAACAACCGACCATGCTGTAGCTGTGGATATCATTCGAGGAGTAAAACCTGCCAGGGAGCCCGCTGCCTTGTTCAAAAGAGCGTGGATGTCATTTGGGATACTGTTGGGACGCCATTGATTATCTCCGCCCTAGCATGCGTGAGATGCTCACGCTATTGGAAGAAATGGATCCAAAGCGATGATCTGCTACCCAAGTCAGCCCATCGTTCCTGCCCTGCATTGAGTCGCATGCAGTCTTCATTCCGACTAAGCATAAAACACTCATAAAGTCCTATCTCTACAACCCAACTTCCGAGCTACACCATTCATGAAACAACGCCACCCTGTACTGATTTGTGCGTTTCGGTCAGACGTCGGGAAAACACAGATACATATACGACAGTTGGGATTGGCGGATAAGTATTAGCGCCAGTCAATGTTCGAGGTGCTGTGATGGCAAGGAATTTCGATCGAGGGAACAGTCATGCAGTTCAATATGAAGTCTCTCGTCTCTGGGGTCAAGAAACCGTATCGCATATCGCGGTGGTTCCTCAAGGCTGCGTCGACCTGGACTCGACTACAGACTGAGATCAGAATTTACTCCTCGTGTCTTGACTCTTTTATCAAACCCATGCCCCAATTCTTGTATTCTTGCAGCATAGAATTTGAAGAGAAGGGTGACAATAGCCTCGACCTCGACTTGGATCCATCACAGATAAGGGTTCGCTCCTCGCGTTATCTACCAAACCGATGCCTTCAACTTTTCAAATTTTTGATGCACCCAAATTCGAAGGGTTGTTGACCTCGACTCTGACCCATTACAGATAACGGAGACCGGCGTGGGTGGTAGTTACCAAACTGATGTTACTTCAAGCACCGAGTTCGAGGATGCACCTTTCACTTATCGGGAGATAAGGATACACTCCGAGTCCTACTTTTGTGGGCGTTTTCCAAACTGACGCCCCGATTCTATGGACAAGCACCGAGGATACGTCTCATCGACTTTGACTCGGACTTAAGTCAGATAAGCATGCACTCGAGCTCCGTACCGTTCAACACGCCTGGGCCCTCCAAGTGGTATGTCCTAATGATGACCATACTTGATCTCAACCCGGTCACCCACCATGCATCATAGACATGGATATACCCCGATTCCCCCTGCAAATGTTTGCCAATGTGGCCCCAACCCCAATTCTGTGAAGCACCGAGTAGCGAGTTCGAACTTCCGGAAAAGGTAGTATGCGCATCTGGATGCCAACTCCTACCTAGGACTTCCTCCAGATTCGCGTTATCACCACGCCACATGCACGAGGATTTGAGGCCCCCCGAATCGACGAATATCACTCGCGAGATGGGCTCGAAGAAGAGAGCCAGTCTCTTGGCAATTATTCGTCTTCTTGTCATGCCATGGAACTCAATTGCCTGCGTTGACGGCTCATCATTGATGAGCTGAGGAGTTGCTTTGGGTTTCCGAGTCGCCACCCGAACGGCAACAGGCATGGACTCTGTACATTGCTCAGGATTCTCCAGCTGGAAGTATGTGTTTCCGTAGCTTCATGATTATCATTCGCTACTTGGTTTGGGTCAATGATGGCTACAGCGTCAACCCTTCATTTTGAAGTCTTTAAAGTCTATTCTTTCACACTGCCGGGACCTCCTCTCAAATTTGTTCAACTTCCCCAATTACATATTTTGAACCAATTCAATGGATTCTAATTTTGCCAACGCATGCAAGGCCGCTCCGTCCCCCAACTATTTCGAAAGCGACAATAGGAGTCTAATAGCCAGCAGAAGGAAGTCCACAATAGATAACTTCTAAAAGGCTACATGTCCATCCATCCGTCATAATAATAAAAAGTCCATTTTGATAGCTTTGACCTGGGATTGTTCAACAATCCTTACCCTTTCTCTTTGCCAACTCCCCCTTGACTAACGGGAGAGTTCAAGATCCCCACGCCTCCGTCGCCCCTCTTCCCTCCACCACTAATAGACACCACGAGCGGGGACGGTCCCCGCCTCCCATCTCCCTCGCCACCAAATATCTCCGTGATGTTGGTGACATCAGTGACCACCACCAGAAACGCGGTCTCCACGCTCCCAGGACGTGCCCGTGTTGCCGAGGTTGCCAGATGGAGTAGTAGGGTAATTGCCAGAGAGTAAGTCCAGCCAGTTGCCTCCCCCGTTTCCCGACTTGTTGGCTCCAACTGAGGGTGTAGATGAAGATGAGGGAGGCGGGTTGGGTACTGTTCAACTCGTCAGAGAAATTAATGGCCAAGACAGGGGAATTCTAACCTGGATTAGGTGCATTCGAGGCTGGTCCGTGGACAAGCCAGTCCAAACCCGTTCCACCAGTGTTTGGTCTCCCACCGCCTGAAGGTTCGTTCCCATCAATAAAAGCAGCGAAAAGCTCGTTGTCGGCCTCCATCTCCACCACTACCCCCGCCACTGGGAGGACCCTAGCGCAATTGGTGGTGGGTGTGCATTCCGCTATCGTGATTGGAAGAGATAGAGCTACCCGCGCTCTTGGGCGGAGGTGGGCGTCCAAAACCCGAGGAACGAGTAGAAGAGTGTGGGGGCGGATTGAAGTCGGATTGGAGAGGGACGAACGAGGGTGGTGGAGGGGTATGGCCCAAGAAGGGTGCGTATTGTGAACTTGAGGATGGGTGACGCTGTTGGTGTGAGGATCCGCGTGGCCTGTGCTGTCTGTACCCTCGCTATTGGCCTCCGCTGAAGGGGATGGGGCTTGGGTGGTAGCTGTAGTCGTCTGGAGGGGACCGGCTCTGGGGAACAGCAGCCCATCTGTCCAATCTGGGGCGCTTGTGTGAGCCAGAGGTGTGATTGTTGGAGATGGGGTGGGATGATGCCATGGGAATTGGGCTGTGGAACAGGCAATGGGCGAGAAATGTAATGAAGCTGAAAGGTGTCGTGAATGGAGGGAGAGCGGTGGCAAGGAGTGAGGACTTACATCACTAGTGTCAAGCAAGGCTCATGTCACCATGGCCAGAAGGCTTCAATTTTGCATCGTTCCTACGCTTGGGCGGCCCAGGTACGTTGTCATCGTTGTCATTGTCGTCCCCTTCGCTGATATCGTTCATCTTTGCCAGGATGTTACCTGAAAAGTTGAGGGGGCCTTGTATGTCCTTCTCGCCATCATGCTTCGGGTGGAAATCAACAGGGACATAAAAATGGATGGTGGTACAGACACTTACTCGAAGCTGTTGTTACATAGAACACCAGGCTCGTATGCTTTTTTGAGGAGCCCACTCTTGCGCTATAAAGCAGAGTGAGGAGAGAGGCAAGTTCAACCGCGATAAGAATAAAAAATCGGATGCCAAGCCAATGAAAACAAAAATAGAGCTCTCACCGACATCCCCTTCACATCCCAGTTCTTCCTACCCGCCACACCCATCTTTGCCTACCTCATCACTTTTTACACTAGCCGCTTCATTCCCGCCTCATGGCACCCCGCCATCTTCGTCTCCCTCCTACCCACAATCGAATCCATCCTCCACAGTGCCAACATCTCGGGTGAGGATGTCGGTTTCACCCCCCCATCTCTCGACATCATCGCCTGGCTCCCATACGGCATAGGCCACTTCACAATCCCCTTCATTGTCGCCACCTTCATATGCCTCTTCCGCACCAAACAAGCCCTCCACTTCTGGGCCCGCGCATTCGGGTACTTGGCTTCATCATTCAAATCCTCCTCCCATGCTCTGCACCATGGTACAAGCTCATCCACGGCCTCACTCCAGCAAACTACTCCATGAAAGGATCCCCAGGCGGTCTAGCCCGCATCGACGCCCTCTTCCACTCCCACGCGTACACCGTCACTTTCACGAACGCACCCATCCCATTCGGCGCGTTCGCCTCTTTACACGCAGGCTGCGCGACCATCGAAGCCCTCTGCCTATCCCACTTTTTCCCAGCCACTACAAAATACGTGTGGGCGTACACGGGCGTGTTGTATTGGGCTACGATGTACCTATCACATCACTACCTCATCGACGTCGTAGGCGGCGCATGCCTCGCCACCGCATTCTTCTACCTATTCCTCCCAGACGATCTTAGGGGCTCTGCAGCACTCACGCCCCCACCCAACCTCACTTCTTCCTCCCAGTTCAGGGGCAGGTCAAAATACGAAGTGTATGATTTAGAGGATCCGCGTAGGGGAGGAGGAGGGGGAGGAGGGATAAATGGGACAGTGGATACTGCGGATTTCGAACTGAGCGAGACGAATTCGGATGACGAGGAAGTGGATATCACGTATCGCTCGCCGGTGCCTGGTTCACTTGCTTCTTTTGGCTCACAGCAGAAACAGGTATGAGGTGTTTTTTATTTATTTTCGGCATGACGTCGTTAACGAAATATCTATTTTAGTTCATAGCGCCCAAGAGGGATCAGGGGAGGGGCGGCCATAGGCATACGGCGAGTATTGCGAGCCTTATTTGGGGTGATGAGAGGGGCCCAGAGGATGGTTGGAGTCCCGTCTCTGGCGCGTTTGTCATTCCTTCCCATGGACATGGTCGGGATAGTAGGGTTTAGAGGCGCGCGATTTGGACATTATTCCCTGCTCCCCTTTTCCAAGTTCTCGATTTCCGACTCCCCCCGGCCTCCGAGTTTCCCCCCCCCTCCCATCCCTCACTTTAATCCCAACACCCCCATCCACCCCACGTTCCTTCATTGCCCTCCTGAATCTGACCATTTATTTATTTGTTGTGCCATTGTGCAGGATCCCCCTTGCGATCACATACATTTCACAAACTATTAAGTACACTACAATTTGATGGCTTTTTTTCTTCCTTCGAGACATGTTTGAATTTGGGTGTGCAAGTGTGCATTCACCTGCTAACGATACACTGATGTCCGAAATTGGGATATTAGCTTCAACAAATCTAAGGACAACCATTTGCTACAAAAACTACATGAAAATTTTAGATAAATGCCCTTCTATAATGTGTGTGATAAAGTGGTGAGTCAAAAGTTGTGCAACACCTCATAGGAGTGTACAAGTACAAACCAGATATGTTGATAATAAAGGAAAAATACCTTACCACTGCTGATGTTATATACTACTTTCAAGATGCAGTGTATACTGTCACATAAGAGAATCTGCATGAAATATAGCCAGAAAAGCAGGGGAAACTAGCAATTGTGCTCACTGTTAGCGATGAAATCGAAGAAAGCTAATATCAGTGTCTAGTCCATGTGGTCCAAATATAGAAACTTCTCTGTTGATAACAAAAATAGCATGAAAACAGCATAAAACTCATTTCAAACATTACATTTTTCTCTAGCTACATCTACCTCAATACTAGATCTTGAAATGTCATACTTTGCCATAAGTCACAAAAGTTCATCCCAATGTTTCTTTCAAGGGGGTTCAAGAATTTTAAAAAAGTAGCCAGGGTCGAATTTTTTTGTAAGGCCCTGTGTGCTTGACCTACCTACAGTTGCGGACAACTAAAGTCAACAAATTTATAGACCAATTTATTGAGACCAGTAGGGATTTTTTAAAAGTCCGAAAACCATCGGAATAGGCAGGAATTGAGTAGATCTTTCAAATGGTACGAGCCGATTTCCCAAAAGTGAAGATTTGTCAGAAAAAAGGTTCAAAATTTTGGCACAGGCCCAAAAAAATCGATAAAATCTCGAAAAAGTCATTTTTGGATAGATCTTGATGAGTACTGTCAGAATCCACTGAAAGAGTAAAAATAAAATAGATCCTCCCCTTTAAAAAAAATTGCTATTATGCTGCCTAAACCTAGAGGCTGTCCTCCTAAAAAACATTGCAACCTTGCATGCCTCCAAAATAACCCTTTTTTGACTTCCATTCCATCAGTGACATCATTTTCTCAAGGCCGTCAGACTGTCAGTGAGGGAGATGATGAGGAACTGATCACAAGATCTTGAGAGTCACATCCATTGCAAAAAAATGAGGCAAGGGAAGCTGAGGATTCAGGAGAAGAGATGGATATGCATAGAGTAATTGGGATGAGCTTGATTAGCAGGATTTTCCTGAGAGACTGGCTGAGATGGTGATGTAGGATGCAAAAAAATTGGCTCAAAATTTTGGCACAGCCAAAAACTCATGGGAATAACATGAAAACACCATTTTTGAGCTCCTTTTGCCTGTCCAGTTTCAGATCTGTCGTCAGATTTCCGTCAAAAAATCTGGTTCCTGAGATACTCAATTTGTTGACTTTAGTTGTCCGCAACTGTACCTACGTAATCAGGCACATGCCTATATATGGCAATATGACATCATCATCATCATTGCTCTGATCCTCTAAGGCTTTGCATACCCAATTTCGTGGGGCTATCTGCAATGCAACACATTGTAGGTGGTACTAAAAAATAAGTGAGTGTAGTGATTAACTTGTGCAAGACTGATACTCACCCATTGAGTCTCACATCCAACCCTTTTACATTTTACCAAGCCATTGCATTCTGAGTGCAATACCACACCACACAGGCATCCGTTTAGAGCATCTGATGTGTCAAAAGCATCAAGATGATTCGAGTTTTGAAATCAGGTCACACAGCATACACATCGGTGTCAAGAACTGGTCTCTAACTGTTTTGTCAGTAAATTGTGATTGATTAAAACATTAGACAAAAATTTGATGAAGATTAGACTGTGAAAAATGATTTTGAAGCCAGAAATTGGCCTGGATATAATGAAATATAATATCCAGTCAAGATAATGTACTATACAATGATATTTTACATGCAGGAATACTAGTGTTTGAAAGTTAGGTTAGTTAACTGGAAAATAACCGGAAAATAACCGGACCTAACCGCAACACTAACCTAACCGCGGTTAGGGTTAGTTGATTTCGAAAATGGAATAACCGGTTATTTTGCGGTTAACTAACCATTAAATAACCGGTTATAACCAGCCCTATTATACACCTTCAAAACGCACTTGAGAACGTCGAAAACGCTTAAAGTTTGACTAAGTTACGGTCAAATCTCTAAAATATCACTCAAATGTGTAGACTTTCAAGGATAATTGCATAAATATGTCAATTCTTCACCGATTTTAGCGTTCTTGGGCTCGTTTTAAAGCTAGAATATGCAGAAATAATATCTATCAAGATACATATGAGCATATTTGCCTTGTTATAACCGATTCTTTATTTTTCGGTCCTAACCGGTTAGTAACTGCAAATAACCGACTGTAACCGGTTAGTTGCAGTCCGGTTAGGTTATTTTAGGTTTCGGGATAAAGGCTAACCAGTCTTGGTCTCGGTTAGAGCCCCTGGGAACCCAATAACCGGACTTTCAAACACTAAGGAATACTGTAAATCACCTTGGAAAACCAATTTAGGACTATGTCATAGAGGGTTCCAAAAATCTTTTTTTCAGCCTATGGCCAACCTACCTACCCAACCCCCAGTCCGGCATTCAGATCCCTGAACCCCCTTGGTTTCTTTATACAAAAATACTGCCACCATAACATTCATAGAGAGGTTTCAGCATCCTAGATAATCATCATCTAACGATGAATCATCACTGCTGTAATCTGACAGGTCCAACATATTTACATCTGCCCCATTCTCTTTCAACAGCCTTGCAATGGCCTTATGGCCTCTCCTTGATGCTGCCTGGAGTGCATTTCTATACCATCCTCCCTGTGCATTTACATCTGCCCCATTCTCTATCAACAACCTTGCAATGGCCTCATGTCCTTCACTTGATGCTGCCTGGAGTGCATTTCCATACTCTCCTTCCTGTGCATTTACATCTGCCCCCTTCTCTATCAGCAGCTTTGCAATGGCCACATGGCCTCTAGCTAATGCTGCCTGGAGTGCATTTGCATATTCCCCTCCCTGTGCATTCACATCTGCCCCCTTCTCTATCAGCAGCTTTGCAATGGCCACATGGCCTCTAATTGATGCTGCCTGGAGTGCATTTCCATATTCCCCTCCCTGTGCATTCACATCTGCCCCCTTCTCTATCAACAGCTTTGCAATGGCCACATGGCCTTTAACTGATGCTGCCTGGAGTGCATTTCCATATTATCCTTCCTGTGCATTTACATCTGCCCCATTCTCTATCAACAGCTTTGCAATGGCCTCATGTCCTTCAC